TAATCGATTATCAGAGTGTGATAATCGATTATCAGCCCATTCTGAACATCAGACAGTAGATTATTAGAAGTGACAGTAGACTGTCTCCCTACACTATTGAAGAAAATGAAGCTAATAGCTAATAATTGAATTTCCTATCATATGTTAATCAATTTTTATTTAGAAAACACGATTTTTGAGTTATGGAATCCTATATTTTGATACCAAACCATTATGATTATTAAAAGGATGATTTCTTGGAATAAAGATGGTGTTTTAACAACTAAAAGGGATCTTATGTAATGCATGACGGTAAGCTAGGGTGTTAACACTCGATGTTAGGCCGCTGATTGTTATTAGATTGTTCATTTGATGAATATTATGGATTATTAAATGATTCTTGAACTAAGAATATGAATTGATGAATAATGTTGTTAAGGATATCTAGAAGAACTCTAAAGATATACCCACTTGTATAATGATGATGATTATTAAGGATATCTAGAAGAACTCTAAGATATACCTCCTTAACCAATTCATATTTCGGGGTTAAAACGTAGGTACGGGATCCAGAACGGATATCACCCACCCGACAAATCATTGTTCGGTTGGTACGTAATCCACACGACTCATAGGGTGGATTATCGATTTTTGTGTTCTGCATTAAACTATTTATAGTTTAAGGGCCTGGTTAGAAATGTTGTCTTAGACTAGGAATAGCTAAGAGCTTGTTATAAAATGATTTGGCCTTAGATTAAGAATAATTTAAGAGCATGGTTGGGATATTGAATATCAAATGACTTGGAATAAAATATTGAGAATATCATGAATGTTTGAATCATATATTGTGTGCATGATATCAAATGGTTGATTATGAATTGAGATTCAAGTTATTTGGATGTTCGACGCTTTAGATATGCTTACTCAGCTTCACCGCTGAGCGTGTAGTGTGTTTTATTTGCTACACCCAGGTAAATAGAAAGATTAATGTGATCCTGGCGGCAGATGGGGCGAGATTGTCAGGATGGATGTGACAAGTTTTGAAATGAATTATGAAATGTCAATATTAAATTCGCTTCCGCAATATTGTTAACTACTCCGTACTGTATATGTTATGAAAAATATTATTGAGATTAATAAAGTGTGTTTGAAATGTTTTAAATTATCACGATTACCAAATCAATACTTTAGTCCGAATGGGGCTGCAGACCTGGACGGATTAGGGTGTTACATAAATTCACTTATTTACATTACATATCTATTAGTACAAAGGCTGAACATATACTTGGCAAAACTCACCCGGTCCCGATAACCCGAACCAAATAACCCGGCACTGAACCGATACAAACCCAAATCGATACAAACCCGAACCGATGAAAACCCGAACCGATACAAACCCAAAGCGATATAAACCCAAACCGCAACCGAACCGAAACCGAAAATCAATCAAACCGAAAAAAACCCGGAACCGAACTGACCATATCCAAACTGACCCAAACCGATTATAACATATATCCGTAAAAGACCCGAACCAGAACCAAACTGATTGACCCGATTGCCATGTCTAACTGAACATCCGTGAACTATAATAACAACATTATAAATTATTCCGTGTTAGGTTTACAAATTCACGAAGAACCCAAGCGGTGGTTCTATAACACTGAAAATGAGAAGTGCAATAAAGGTGAAAAAGGAGAGATCATATTATAAAAGCCTAAATAATGGAAGATGAGAGATCTTTGATGTTTGATGTTTTACCTTTTGATAAAATGTAAAAAAAGTGAGCATGAATTATAAAAAACGTGTAGTTTTAAAATTGACCATGGAAAGTGACATGAAAAAACATCCATACGTGGCATGGTAAAATATATAAAAAGTGTAGTTTCAAAATTGTAGTGTATGAAAAAACATGTGACAAGTTGGGGCAGTGCATGCAAATATTGATTAAGTTCAAAGGACTTTGAAGATTGTATTTATTTAAACTTATTAAAATCTCTTTTTTAAGTTTAAGGTAATGACACTCTACTGACTTTTGAAAAGAGTGGTTAAAGAAAATTTATAACCAAAAAAATGTTTTAAGAAAATTACTTAGTGTAATATTTAAAAGAATTTACTGAAAACCCATTTTAAAACATCAAAAGTACTTACATGAAATTTGAAAATATTCAATGTATCAGCTTAGTGGGTATACATGAGAAGACAATTTTTTGGACTTAGTCAATGGTATTTCTCAATAGTGAATAACCAATGGACAAATATTCCAGGCATTCATAAACTAATACCAATGGTGGACACCCTTACTCTCTATTTCTATGTATATATATATATATATATATATACATACATACATACATATATATATATATATATGTAATACCCCGTATCAAGATGGAAAAGGGAAGAGCTCAAAAGGATTGATAGTACTACTTATACCAACAAGGTGCATCTTTTTTTCGAGAGCTCATCACCTAGAAACTTCATAGTTAAGCGTGCTTGACCTGGAGAAATTCTAGGATGGGTGACCCCATGGGAAGTTTCCTTGGGCGCGCATGAGTGAGGACAAAGTGCGCGGGAAAAGACTTGTGTTGGTTTGTGGGGCCAGTCTATAATCTTTTGAGCGAACACTTACGGCCGGGGTGTTACAAATGGTATTAGAGCAACCCTGCGACTGTGACGAGCCAAAAGAGCTTAGTTCACCTAGCGGGGAAGATCTATGGGGTTAAAAAAAAGGATGCAACGAGGACGTTGCAATCCTAAGTGGGGGTGAATGTAATACCCCGTATCAAGATGGAAAAGGGAAGAGCTCAAAAGGATTGATAGTACTACTCATACCAACAAGGTGCATCTTTTTTTCGAGAGCTCATCACCTAGAAACTTCATAGTTAAGCATGCTTGACCTGGAGCAATTCTAGGATGGGTGACCCCCTGGGAAGTTTCCTTGGGCGCGCATGAGTGAGGACAAAGTGCGCGGGAAAAGACTTGTGTTGGTTTGTGGGGTCAGTCTATAATCTTTTGAGCGAACACTTACGGCCATGGTGTTACAATTTAGAGTGCTGTTTTAAGAGCTGATGGAAATCAAACTAAATGACATTCAAGAAAGGGGGAATGGTAAAACATTCTGTGCTAGAGCACTTATTTAGTACACTCAAGACATAGAAAAGACAGCAATTGGGAAAAATATTTCTAAAATCATTCTCTCTCATTCCGTTTCAACTTTGATAGACTTTTTTGGCCTTTTCAATTGCTCTTGCTCTGCTATTTCAAAATCATTCAAAAGATCCCTCTTCAATTTTTTTTTGTCATCACACTCCACGACTTCCTGGCCCTCTACGTCAATGACGTCTCTTTTCACACTGGTTTCACCCTACATTTTAAGTTTAGACTTTCAGATTTTTTTTTAAGAAATTAAGAAATATGAACTAAACAAAGTGGTTCACTTTATTTAAACCTTATCAACTATTGAATCAACATTCTCTTCAACCCCAAAATCTGCCATCTTAAGTTTTGGTTGGGATACTGACTCTTGGGTAGATGGTGTCTCACGGGAGTGTTTTTCAATAAAAGTAGGATCTGTAGAGACCTGAGACACACTAAAACTGTCTTCATATAGTGAATCTTGAGATTTTGATACTTCAATTTCAAACATCATTTTCCTCTCTACAAGTTCCTCAATTTCAATTGGCAATTCTCCTTCTTTCTCCTGCACGAAAACAATATGTCAATGACTTGCCGATTTCTTAAAATATCCAAATAAGAAATTTTAAAACAATAGTGCTTGTAAACTTACTGATTTCTTTAAAAGCTCCTCAGCTCTCCTTCCAAGTATCCTTATACAATGCTTTTCCCATAACACCAATGATAAATTCCCAGTGTCATCCACTACATGGACTTTTAAACGGTATCTAATTTACATTTAGAAAATATAAGTAATTTATAAGTACCAAAATTTATAAGAAAAATATTTATTAAAGTGTTAAAACATGCAAAATATTATATTTACCTCAAAACCACACCTTGGGATTTACAGACACCACAATAGTTCAAACTGTCCTCTGGCATTTTTTTCTTAGGGCATCCCTTACAGGAGCTGTAAAACCAGGAACCTGAGTTTTCTATTCCCGCAATAGAGCAAGAAATCCAAACCCGCCCATGCTGTAAAAAGAGATATGTAGGATGTAATGTTTGATGAGATAATTAAAATTTTCAAAATATGTACTTTACCTCTTTCCTTTCAATAACTTCCTCTATCGTTCTGAGCTTGATTGTCATTGGAGTACTTTGAACTGTTATCGTAGATACACTCAGGGATAGAGACTGATTGGAAATACATCTTGTTGCAATGTATCTGGTTTGCCAATAAGAAACAATTCTAAATAGTTTTTGAAAATTGTTATTTATTTTCAAAGACCAAAGTATTTTTAAAACTACCTCTCTCTGAAGGTGTTAATCTCTTGAATGTTTTCATCAAGGAACATCTTAGAAACATCGTAGAAAGTGGAAGCCTTAATGTTGCCTGAGAAAATGAAATTTGCATAGACAAATTTTAAGAATTCCAAGTAATTACACAGAATTACTCTTTTAATATAAAAAGTATTAAATTTCCATATATTTGGAATATTTTTCTGTTTTGAAAAATTGAAAAAATTTAGAAGCAGTATTGTTTTGTTTTAAATTATATTTTAAAGAAACCCTTTACCATTATATATCCCTGCTTTGCAAAACTGGATTACAGCTATGACGGGTTGCTTTGGCAATTTTTCCACAAATTTCATGAGATTTGAAGCATATCTGCCCCACAAAGTGCATGCAATTCTTGTCCCCCTATAACCATTTATAGTGTAATACACAATTATATTTGTATAATATACATATTATAATAAGGGATAATGACTGATATGATGTACTTACTCTAAATCCTCTAATATAATCTCCATAATTAGGGTTTCTTTTCCCATAACTGGTTTGGTGATTGGAGGGTCATTAACAAACATTGCGCCTATTACATTTGTTCAAGTAAAAATATTAAATCGTATTAAGATTTTTAAAATAGACTAACGATATCAAGGAATTTAAGTATGAAAAATGAGTAAAGTAATTACCAAACATTGGAACATTTTCAATATTTTTCAAAGCATTTATCTCCCCAAATGGTTTGAAATTGAAAAAATGCTTGGGGAATTGTTCATCAAACATCTCGGTAACAGTACTCCTTTTACCAAGTGATAGCTTAAATTTGCTTGAAACAATGTGAGGCATGTTGTTTGATAGAACTACCGGATTATTCGATATAAATTCCCCTCTTTGAGCGTTGATCCAAACAATGCTATTTCCTCCTTTTGATACACTCCAAGAATGTGGTTCCCCTAAAATTTTTTATCAAATAATTAATATCAATTTGAAAAGTGGCTAGCTAAAATAGTTTTGAAAAAAAGTACCTCATTGTCGTGAAAAATACACTCCCGTGCATAAACTTCTCCGGCATTTCTGTAGGATATCAAGTCGTAAGAACGAACTAATCTTAATTTAAGATTGGAACGAAAAGTAGATGGTTTTAAATCTATCAATCTTGTCCAAAGGGCAGACATTTTAGAAAAGTATAAGGCTGATTGTTAATAAATCAGTGTTTTGAAGGAATTTTGGGGAAGGGTGGGTAGTGTTATGCAGTGGAGTGGTATTTATACTGACAATGGAATATGTTGGGTTCTTAGGACTGACTTTGTTGGTCTGAGTACTATGACTTGAATGGCATAATATATGTTGGTCTCCCTTCTTAGTACTGACTTTGTTGGTCTTTAGCTCCTGTAATGGGTATTTGCAGTGTAGTACAATGACCATGTTCACTGTATGTCTCGTAATTATGTGATTTATCTTTCCTTTGCAGCTGTGGTGTATTACACATTTGCAGGTGCAATACTTTCAGTAAACAGAGGCTGTGGTGCAATTTTTATACGTTTCTCTTAAATGTGAAATTAAGGAAATAAAACGTATCTTGGCGTGGCTTGGTGGGTACCGAAGCAGCCATGGCGTTTTTGCATCCTTTCCATTGTGATGAGTAAGTAAATTTGAAAGTCTGAGCCTCTTTTTAGCCGCAGTCGATTTCAAAATTGAAAAGGAAAATAATGTATCTCCAAAGAGGCTGTGACGATATCACTGTGTATCTTCCAATGCTAATAACAAAGATTTAACGAAATGATTCGTATCTTGGCGAGGCAACCTCGAACTTTGAGATCATCGTTGCAGCCATGACAATCATATCGTTTAGTTAGCAATGGAAAATAATTCCGAGCCTCAACGGTAGTTCTTTTTTTATATAGAAATTATAAACGGATTTTAAATATGTTGAATTTGTGATTCGTATCTTGGCGAGGCAACATTTAGATTACAATCGGTTTGCAGCCATGGCAATCACATATCCATGTGTATCTATGGGAAAAATTCTGAGCCTAAAGATTTTTTTCACTGCTTCACATATCCATGCGTGATATCCATTGCTCTTGCAGTTCTTTTGTCATTTGATCAGTGAACTACTTGGCTTGGACTGACTCTTTGGAGATAGCATGTACTGGAATTCTTGATGTGGGGATAATAATCTTTTGTCCAGAACTGATTGTATGTCTTTATAGATAGAGATCTCATAAGCTGATGCCACGTGTAGCAAACTATTCTCATCCATTGGATGCATAATTATGGCGGGAAAAACAGGAATGAAATTTGGAAAAAATTTCCTATGGGCTTTTATATATAAGTAGAGTATGATGTATCTCTAATGAGGCTGTGACGACATCAATGTGTATTTACCAATGCTAATAACGAAGAATTAACAAAATGATTCGTATCTTGGCGAGGCAACCTCGAACTTTGAGATCATCGTTGCAGCCATGACAATCATATCGTCTAGCTTAGCAATGGAAAATAATTCCGAGCCTCAACGATCGTTCTTTTTTTGGAATTTATAAACGGATTTTAAATATGTAGAATTTGTGATTTGTATCTTGGGAAGGCAACATTTAGATTACAATGGGTTTGCAGCCATGGCAATCACATATCCATGTGTATCAATGGAAAAAATTCAGAGCCTAAATAAATTTTCGGTATGCATTGTGAATTTGTGATGTGTATCATTTATATTACAATCGGTATGCATTGAACTGGCAGTTCTTTTGTCATTTCTCAGTGAACTACTTGGCTTGGACTGGCTCTTTTGAGATAGCATGTACTGGAATTCTTGATGTGGGGATAACTCTCTTTTGTCCAGAACTGATTGTATGTCTTTATAGATAGACATCTCATTAGATGATGCCACGTGTAGGAAACTATTCTCATCCATTGGATGCATAATTATGGCGGGAAAATCAGGAATGAAATTGGCAAAAATTTCTCATGGGCTTTTATATATATAGTAGATACTCCGTATTTGATTATGATGATGATAGCAGACCACTTGCAGCTTCTACTCATGGGGTGAAGGGGGGCGACGCCCCTTGCCTGGTTCCGGTTGCAACTTTTTTCGTCAAACCATGACACACTTTGAACTCAAATTAAATATAATTTTAAATAATTATATGTTGTAAAATTTAATATATCAAAACTACAATTCAAAATAAAAACCTAAGTTTAATAACTTTATATTACAACTAAATATACTTTTTGCACAAGTTATAGTCAAAGTGTTGCACAATTTGACTAAAAAAGTCAAATTGTGAGAATCGTTTTGGAATGGAGAAAGTATAAAATTTGCTAAAACTTTTTTAAGAATATATTTAATAAAATTTTTGTTCTGAATGAAATGAACAAATTTCAAAACAATTGGATTCCCCTAAAAAAAATTGAAGTCCCTTCAAAAAAAATTTGTCGAGGATGAAATTTTATTTAGGTGGGAAAAAGTGCGCCCAAAAAATTAAAGTAAAAAATTGGATTCCCACTAAAAAAGTAGATTCCTTGCCGATAACCTGTCCAAATACATTCCTATATTTAATTTTTTCTATATACTAATTTTTAAATAAAATCATTCTAAAAAGGTAAGATTTTTCACATTGCACCGAAACTTTTTGAATTCCCTCTCAAAATTTGCAGGAGCAATTTTGTAACGCCCTAGAAACTGGCCTAGAAGTTAATCAATAATTAAAAAAATAAGAATTATTTATTTACGACAATCTATTCATTTAAAGGATTAAAAGACACTTTAGAGATTCTAATTGTCTTAATATAACGAAACTAACCTGATTATATTTGTAAAGATTTAAATTAAAAGACTGGTCAGTATTAATTAATCAAAAGAATTAAGACAGACCAGGTGGAACTGGTAAATGCTTGTTGATTAATTATAAAAGTTATATCGTTGGGTGGGGATCAACAAATTAAATACAATGATGCGAACGAATCTTAATTCGGAGCAAGTTGGCCTGAAAAGTGCGTTCTTACTTAGACACGCTGCTTTAAATTATTTTAAATTAAGGAGTACAAAACCCTAAGATATTTATAAAGGGCCTGTTTGGGAATAGCTTTAGAGATTAGCGTTAGCGTTTTAAATAAAATTTTAACGGTGCAGATTACTTTGAAAACGCTAATGCTAAACACTGGCCGTAGATAGCCTTTTCAAAACGCTAATAGCTAAAGTTATTCCCAAACGTGCCCAAAAGAATTATAGCCCTCTACCGTTCTACTTGCAGCGCCATTTACTTCGATCTCCTTCTCCGATCGAGCAGGGAATCTAGCGCCATCGCCACCATCCTCCTCGATAGATGGAAGCAGCAGCGTAGAGGAAGGCCAGCAATCTTCTCCGATTGGAAAGTGTAGCAGCGACAAATCCCCAATCCAGTAATTCCAAGTGGCCGACGAATTCAACCCACCGGCAAAGCAACAGCCAGCGTCCAGCAGCGGCTCAGATTATTGGTGATTTGTGGGCGATTTTTGATCCTCTTTCAAGGTATGAGAGTAGATTTCATTCCCGTTTGATTTTCATTCGATTTGTGGATTTTGAGGCTGGGTTTACCCTGTTCATTTTGCGACACTAGAATGCGATTGGCACTGGTCCATGCCTGATTTTGGGTCCAGCTTTTGTGGGTTCTCATTTACGATGTTGAGGACTTGTTTGTGTTGATTTTGGTCTTGCGGTCCAGCAAGACCATAGAATTTGGTACAGGTTTCCCATTTTACACTTGCATGCACCCAACATATAATTAATAGTGAAGACGATTAAAGGAAAAAAAGATATAAAAAAAAGTGGCAGAAATACTAAATAAGTTGTGCTCACTGCATTTTAATTTCAGTCACCTCTTAAGGTACCTTATTTGGTTTGTCAAGCATCCTTTCAAAATCAAGGCACTTAAATTTTGGGTCAATTACTCAAACAAGTTTCTTAAAGTGGCAGGTAAAAATTAAACATGGCATATGCCATCACATGTATCGACACTCATTATCTAGTTAGTTTAATTTATTGGCCAAGGTGAACAAAATATCTTATCATTAGAACAAAAATAGCTGAAAATGATGCCGGAAAATCCAAGTGGGATGGTCTTGTTGCTCGTGTGGTACCCATTACATCATAGTGTGATGCATCAAACAAGAGTGGCTTTTGACAGCACAGCTGTTTCACAATCCATGATCATATGAAGTATGGTTCTGTTTTTGTTTATATAAAAAAACTTGGGATTATGATTAGGAAGTGGAAGAATGTGAGAGAGTGTTGCCATCATCCAACTATAAATTGTGTTGCCAAGGGAAGCAAAGCAAGGTAAGAAAGACACAACATATATGAATAAGAGAAGCATCGAAGCAGCAGAAATTAGCAGCAACTAAATTGGACTTGAAAAAGGGGTAAACCCCGATTTTTAATCATTTCTTTTGTTATTTTCAATTGCACACTATACTGGTTGAGGATGATGTACTGATCTGGTGCATAAAATATGTACTCTACATTTACCTTCAAGAAATGGTAGTTGCTATTTTATTGAGATGCTAATTTGAACTACTAACTGGATTTTGTGCGGTCTATTACTGTTGATGCTTTTTAGACCCTGTTACTGTAAGATCTATTAGGCTCTTGGCGATTGATTTTTGTATATCTAAACGAAGTAGACTGAAGATGTTCAAGTCAAGGTTGATGAACATTTAATTTTCTTAAAAGAGTGAATATATTAATCTCATTTTGTGGTACCATCTCAGAGTTTTCATTTCTTTTGCTTCTTTAGCCTCCTGTTAAGGTTCTTTCCATATTCATTGATGAAGATAAAGTGCGAGAAGCGGGGCTTGGGGAGAACTTATGAGTTCGAGTATCTGGGATTGAGGAAGATGATATCTTATCAGGCTTTGTTTTATGCAGTGTTGGTAAATACCATTCAATTTTTTCTTTGCTTAGTCTACTTTTTCAATTTTCAAAGATTTATGTGTGGACAGGGTTTGCTCAATTTGTCCATTGTTAAGCTTGTTAGGAAGGGGTTCATCAAGTTATCATTATGTTCTTTTATACCTATATAATCCTGTCTCGGTTTTTACTGAAATGGATCTATGTCTTGGTGCAGTAAGGCCAGTCCCTGCTGTTACAGAGTTTTTTTTGCGCACTTATCAATCAAGGAGCTGGTGGATAATGTATGAATTGAAACTTAGCATTTTTATTCTCTTATTTGCTTGTTATAAAACTAGGTTTATTG